GAAATATCCTTATCACGCACTCGCTGTGAGGGAGTCCTTTTTTGGCCTGGCTGATCTGCTAGCAGATGACCTCGTGTCTAAGGGGTGCAGGCTGCAGGCTGAGATTAATGATTAAAGCTTCTTTGGCATGTGCAATTGTAGAAATGGACCCTGCATTCTCCGCTGTACATCCGCCTGGTGGGAAAGGGACTTACAAGACTTAGCTTAAGCAGTGTCAGTGCATTGAAATGTCCTTATCACGCACTCGCTGTCAGGGAGGTGTTCTCCCGCCCTGGCTGCTAGCATTCTTTGAAAGAAGGTTGCTCTTCCTCTCATAGCCTCCAGGGTCTTGCACTGCCAAAAAGCGCAGCAGCATTGACAGCAAGATTCCTGCCGAACATCCAGATTCTGTGTCCTAGTCCTAGATATCGTTTCCAAAGGTGGCGGCAACTCTTGCCAAATGGCGCCAATACCCACGTTGCTGTCGACGAGCGCTCAGTTGCTTTTTCACTTGCATTGCTGTGGTCCGCCCACCGCAGGCTCAGCTCTCCGAAACAGGGAGACTATTCGCACAAGCTTCTAGGAACAATATTTACTACTAGGGGCTCCTGGCATCGCTACTAGGAGCAAGGACGCTACTAGGGGCTCCTGGTCTTACTACTGGGAGCAACGTTCGCTAGTAACAAAACTGACAGCATGATGTTTCACGCGCTATGAATGTGATTGTATGACTTTGGCACGAAAGCTGCACCACATTGTGACCAAATCTGACTAGGGGTCCCATCGTTCCGCGAGTGCTGGGAACGTCTGAGGCATCAACAATGTTACAAGGAGACGGAGACGAAGCAGAAGGGTGGGAGAGCAGCAACAGACTTTGGTTCCCAGAAATTGCCTTAGATCTCAGCACACGAGCTGGTTGTCCTCAGCAAGCTCAAACACCTGGTGTCTTAGGGGGTGCAGGGTGAGATTTTCCATATAAAGCTTCTTTGGCATGTGCAATTGTAGAAATGGACCCTGCAGGGGCAAGTAGGCTCAAAGGCATGCTGGCAACCGTGGCAGCCTGACAAGGTACAGGTTTCCCCCTGCAAGTTCAGCCACGCAGTGGGGAAGGACCTACAAATTCGAGCTTAAGCAGTGTCAGTGCCTTGAGCTGTCCTCATCACGCACGCGCTTTCAGGAAGGTATTTTGGTCACCATACTCCCAACATATGACTGCAGTACCAACCTGACCTTTGAATGTAAGCTGCTCTATGCTGCTCTTGCCTTCAGAACTGCCACAGCTCACAGAAGCCCCAGAGATAACTTGTCTGGCTTTGAGGTCAACTTCCCTCACAGTTTTATAATCTTTATATAGGGCCTTGCAAGCCCCCGGTGGGATCTGTAGCGCTGCAGCCTTCCTACCGAAAAATGGGCGTCCGAATGGCTCTGCACGGTTGTGCGTCTGAAAGGCATTGCAGACCCGGCTTGGCCACAGAATGGCACAAACAAGATCTTACATAGCAGGATTCACACTTTGGATTTGAATTTGGACAGGTTCCCCATGAAAGCCCTCTACCCTCGCTTGAGAGTACTGACTGGCAGTACGGGGCCATCAGCAGCTCAGGAATTCCCGGGCATGAATCTGGGTGGGAATTGAAAGCCTGCTGCCAACGATCTTGTGCAACAATGCATTAAGCACAAGAAGGTGACACTCTGGGCCTGGAGCACTTGGCATCATTCTCGCTGCGATGAGCCAGCCATGGCGCTTTGCTACGCTTTGCTATGCTGTGCTGCTGTTCAGAACGCCAGTTTTTGTAACCTGACTTTCAAAAAAGCCCCCGATACTTTACAGCATCCAAGTTGGTTAGCAATGGCATGGATGCTCCTTTTCTTGTGTGTATGTATGTATATATATATATATCTGTGTGTATATATGTTTGTATATATATATACAGTATGTGTGTGTGTGTGTCACACTCTGTCCCGAAGAGTTTTTTTGTTAAGTGCAGGGGCGTCAGGCTCGATACAACTACCTGACGCAACGAAGCTATGGTGCATCGAGGGAAGGGTGGACTGATCGTCCACCTGTACCTGCTGAAGGAACTTTTGCACACGCTGTGACTCCACTTCTCCGTGATTTGTTTTCATGGTCTTTGCATGATAGACCCCTAAACATCGTTTCCCACCGCTGACTTGCAGCCGTGCTGATCGTGTTTGAGTGCATTTGCAAACACTGTTGAAACATTCACCTCCGCGGACTCAGCCTCCTGACGTTTCTATCGTCCATTTCCTCGTGGAACAGAGTTAACTGCAAACCCATTGTCTAAGTGTGTGCCGCTCTGTCGTCCCACTGGGTGCAGAGTGTGATCCTCTCGCAGGAGAGGCGCCGAAGCCACTCTGGGCTACCGTTTTTCTGTCTCGAAGTGCCGCCATCGTGGATTCTGGTTTGATGAATTTTGTTTCACCCAATGAATTTCCTGCCGGAGATTCGACACCACCGGGTTTACGGAGTTTCTTTCCAGAGCTTTCAAGGTTCGAGTAACATGCAGCTGAACTTTTCCACTTTTCCCTGCGCTGTCACATGTTGGACTGATGACTTCCACATTTCCTTGTTCACCGTGTTCCGGGTACCTCCACTCAATTTGCAATGGAATTCAATTGAATTCAGCCATTCCACAGTTCACTTTCTTTCACTGTTATCCCGTGACTTTTTGCCTGGCGCCGATTCTTCGCGCTGCCGCCGCCGCTCGCGCTGCTGCCGACAATAACAGTAAGTTGAACGTTCAGCAGCATGCAATGTCCTTGGCCATATCCATACCCACCACAACCTCCACCCCAGGCGATGCCTGTTCCACATCAGTTTCCACCGCAACCTACACCGTGCCATCCATTTCCCATAACAGACCGCGCAAGGTTCCACCACTACCACACCTCCCACCCAAAGCCGGCTGGCATCCACCAACCCGGCTCACAACAAAGCCACTCAGCAATGGCGTCAGCTGACCAGGCAAGGCCGCAAACTATGGCGTTCTTAGGGTCAATGACCCAGCATCGGCCATTTTGGTGGAATACAGCGCCGCGTTGTTGTTGGAGCCGGGTGATTTTCTTGCCGGCGCCCCACGCAAGAAATGTGACAATGATGGAATGGGAATTTTTGGCAAGGTTCCAGGTGTTTAAGATAATGCGAGCATTCTCTTCGTGGTCGCGTGGAAAGGTTTCGGTGGCCCGAAAGCCTTGTGCGAAAACTCCGCCGTTGTGCTGAAAATGAAGAGTGCTGGGGAGGAAACGGCCTTGTTGGAGGACGCTGGTGATGTTGCCGACTGGGCCAGTGTGGCAACCCAAAATGTAGGCGGTTTCCGATGAAGTGTTGGCGGCGCGGGCAGGTTGAGGTGGAAAGCGTTGATAGGCTTTGGCTGCAGGTGAGGGGATGGCGATGTGATTCAAGTGGGAAAGGTCGTAGCGGTTGGTGTCGAGTTCGATTTGATACGTGTAAAAATTTGTAGTCGCAAACATCAGAGTAGCTAAGGCCACTGTCAATGAGAAGGCGGGCCACGTAGGAGTGTTGCGGAGTGTTGGGGGTGTCGAATTGCTCTGCGTGATAATTGAGCCAGATTTCAAGCTGCTCTTGAGGCTGCAGCTGTGTCCTTGTCTTGGTCAGCAAGTTCAGTATTGGGATCGCAATGTGATGGGTTGTCCGATGTTGATGCTGTTGGTCCGAGCGACCTGTCTGCGGTGTCGGCGGCGGCCATGACGCCGGTGGCGGCGTCGCCTGCAGTGAGGTTGCTGTGGCGCAGGAGGTGCGCCCTCCGTGGCGGTATCAGCTTTGGTGGTATGGTGTGGTGTGATCGGTGGAGGGGAGGTGATGGTGGAGGTGTTGCTTGTGTTGCTTTGGTGTCGGTAGTGTTGGGGGCGGAAGTGGAGTCAGTGGTCTGCTGAGAAGAGGATTACTCCACCCAACCTGTACAACATTTCCACATTCACCACAACGACCAACAGCCAACAGCCTCACCTCTACACCAGTCTCAGCACTATTAGACTATTGTCTCACTTCTCCCTCACACACCGGATTTGTCCACAGGAAAAGCTGCCGCGGCCGCTGCTGACACTTCGCATGCTCATTTTTGCACGATTTTCATGTTTCGCCAGCTAGATCATGTGCCATGTCCGGAGAACCAACTGAGGCTTTGGTGTCGGTTTTGCTTTTTGTTTGGACCTTGACGTGGCTCGACTTAAACCACTGCTTCGTAATTCATGCTGCGTGCAACGTTCCAAATTTTCCGCCGCATCGTAGCGATTCATGTGACCATCCGTGCAGTTGCAGCCGCTGGCCTCGACTACATTTCAGCCTATGTCCACTCACGCGAACCCAATTTTTGCTTCGGCGGGCGGCCGTTGCCTTGGCGCAACTCCAGCAACTTCTCCAGACAGCCTCAGACATTCTCCAGGACCTCCACAGCATGTACCTGGTCCGCGCCCATCAAGTGGACGCTCACTTTCACCAACCTTTTCCACCTCTCCCTTCTTTTCCTCAACCCCTCCTTGCACCACCTGCCAACTCTCTACATTCTCTACCGGTTCCCTCACCTACCTCTTCCTGCGACACACCTCCGCCACGCTCTTCTCGTCCTCCTCCACCAGCCAAGCACTCTCCTTCTTCTCAACAGACACCTACTCCTTCACCCACACCACAGCCACGGCGCCGCAAGGTACCCAAACGCAAAGCGCCACCACCTCCTCCACCTGACGACACCACTTGGGATGACTGCTTAAAGGATCTGTTTTTTACTAACTAGTTATCATAATTAAGATAATTAGATAACTGTTGTTAACTAGTTATAACTAGTTAGCATCTTAATTTTTTCAAAAGGCAAACATTGTTTTTTTAAATCAGCTTCTACAAAAAAAGACATGCAACACAACAAAACCAATGCACCACAGGCTATCGCGGCCATCAGCCAACAGCCTTTCAAAAGTTTCTGCTATAGCCATCAACAACAAACATCCTGTCCATAGCCCAGAACATATGT